CCGGGAGCCAGCAGGCTGGGCTCCCAGCCGCCTGCTTGCCTTCTCCCACTGGTCCCTCTCCAGCTTGTGTGGAAAATCATATTATGCCTTCCTGGCATAGGAAAGGTGGCTGTGAACCAAGCGAGGCTACAGAAAAAAAAAAAAATTAAAAAAAATAAAAAATCAGGAAATACTGAGCAATAAAACCCAAGGCAAAGGCTGTGGGACAGAGCTCAGCCTCTCAGTGCCACAAACTGCCACGACTGTATTTTCCCAGCCCGCTGCCAGGCTGGAGGAAATTCGGAGCAGGTTCAAAGCAGAGCTGAAGCCAGCAGAAAACAAGGCTCTCCATTGAAACGCACTGCGCGCGCAGACTGCTGCCCTCTCCACGGGAAGAAAGAAAAAATTAAGTTTATTTTTGCCCCAGGGGATATTGAGAACAGGCTGTGCTGCCTGGAAGAGGGCAACTATGGGCAAGTCGCAACTTCTCGATCCTGCCTCAGTTTCCACACCTGTAAAATGGAGCCGTGTAACGCCAGAGGAGGCTGGGAGGGCTGGCTCACTTCTCCGCAGATCTCTGTGGGACAAGGAGCACCAAAACCCACCGACCACTATGGTATAGACCAAGAAGTGTGTGAAAGACGCCTTACAGAGAGGTCCCCTTGCAGCTCCCAAAGTGCCCCAGCAAGCACTCACACATTTAACTCACATGCCTAGCAAAGGAAGTTTTTTTTTCAAAAACTTCTTCTGGAAGTGGAGGTGGTCGTGGGGGGAAGGTGAAGCTTTGGATAAGGGAACATTTGGTAATGAGGGCGTCAACCTGAGCCTTGGAAGCCTTCAGCTCTTCCCAGCTCTGCTACTAATTCCCCATGTGACGCCAGGTGAGCCACTGAACCTCTCCAGCACTGTGCGTACCGCAGGGCTAACAGCAGCCCATCTCACGGAGGATGCGAGGATGGATCTCCTGCAGATGGGGCCAAAAAGCATCGAGTGTGCCCTCCCCCAGCTCCTGCCCTCCTGCAGCCGCTGATGGAAGCGAGCAGCAGGGCTTGGTGCCGCCCGCTGTGTCCCTTCGCGATGCTCAGGTGGGCTCCAGGGCCCTGCAGCTGCAAGCCCGGGGCAGCCAGGGGGGTTATTTCTGCAGCACTGTGGTGGACAGGCTTTTTTTGGTGCACTGCTGTTTTTTTCTTAATTCCTCAGAACATATAATGTTGAGCAGAGTATAGCATGCCTCCGCCTGCCAAGCCTGATGTCATGCTCTCATTATGTCATTTGCGGGCCCGCTCTGCCTTCATTTCACAAAAAAGGGAGGGAAGGGAAGGGGGGGCAGTGCTGGCTTGTGCCTTCCCCAGCCCTTTTGGTGCATGGAGCCCAGCCAGAAAAATAATGGGAAAAGCAGCCACAGACGGGGAAAAGCGTCTGTGCGGAGAGGAGCCTGCGTGCAGGCTGAGAGCGCCACAGCG